CTTAATTAAGGTAACTACACACTGTTAAATAAATTTTGTTATATTCTTCCCAACAACATTTGGGATATCCTGGAATCACACTGTCTATTTTTGTGCCTGTCTACTTCTCTGTAGTATTTTTTGTCCAAACATAAAATATTTGTGTCAGAATCTTCTTAATTTTTGGCAATATGAATTAGTAATACTGTTTGAACATTCCAAATTTAATTGTCAAAATCAAAAAAAAAATGCTTTTTATGACTTTATTATGAAGCATATCTTCCAACAGTGTAATTATCTTGCAAATTACATCATAGGATTCCACAAAACACCTAGTATAGCATATATAACATTAGTTTTATCTCTTATCATATCTATGTTGGTGAATTGGGCATACATTTTGCTGAACTTTAATATTACTTGTAGAATTGATTTTGTAATTTAAGAATTGTTTTATTTTTACTTTTGAAATTTTTGTAGAGACCATTCTGTGCCACAAAGAAATTGTTCAGGAAAGGGAGAAATGGTGGATTTGCATTTTGGGTACAGTTCAAAGAGAGTTCAAAATGGTCAAGCTCATGGAAGATCAGAGGGAGGACAACTGAAGAAAACTGAAAGATACAGAAGGAAAAAGAACAAGAAAATATATGAAATAATTATGAAATTGGGAGGATGTACACAATCTTGTCTGCATTTGACCTGTAAAGATTTAATTCCCATTCTTATTTGTATGCTGTAATATCAAATAACTTGATTTTTCATAAATTTACAATAGAGAATACATGACAAATGTTATATGTGATATTTCAATTTTGCCTTGGACACTTTCATGTCAAATCATATAAATTATAAAAAAGTACATGGACTAATTATGTTATTCATTTGTACATGTATGCATGTTTAACTATTTAATCATTTTGTGGAAATCTTATAATTGTACTCAACTTAGAATATGTAAAATATATGTATCGACAAATGCTACTGACTTGTTTGTATACTTTCCTGTTTAGAAAGTACACTGAAAAATAAGTTATTTCTCTTGATGAAAATAATTTATCAAAAAAGCTGTGTAAGCATTTTAAGATATTAATTTTCAAATATTTAACCCATGAAGATAGATCATTGGAATGTAATGGATTTTCATCTAAAGAAGAAATATCTGATTTTTAAATGTGTACAAGAATGTGTTTTTCCTTGTACGTGATAAATATTGAAAGAGAACACATGTAACTATTTCATATGACTTACATATGCTCATATGCTGCCCTTTTCATATGATTCACATATGTGGACAGACATGAAAAAAGTATAAAAATGATAATAAGTACAACAGTAATATTATACACGTATAATTCACATATAAAGTATAACATGTATAAAACACATGTTTAACACATGTTTCATATGTATAAATATACAATGTGTTTATTTTTACACATGTTAAACACATGTGAAACATATGTTTAACATGTGTAAAAATAAACACCCTATACATGTGTGCTCCTTTTATGTGTTTTACATGTGTAAAAAATATATGTTAAACACATGTTTAACATATGTTCAACACATGTGGACATTTTTCCTGTGTAGGTTGAATTTCTTTAAAAATAAATTCTTAATGCAATTTTACAATTTTATAGTGAGCTATATCGTAAATTAAATCACTTCAAAAAAATACAGTTCTACTTTCTGTTTGATTTTATACAATCATTAGTTTAAAACGTGATTTATTTCCCTTATATATCATTTTAGTTTCGATTTGACAAAAACTTTATTTTCTATAAGATAACGTTCAATACATCAGGTTAAAATATTACGAGTATTTAAATCTACATCTGCTACAGTAGAAATAAGTTTATCAACCAACAGGACAAATCTATGATTGCAAGTTATCATTATTAATTTTGCACTATGTAATGTTTATATTTGCTCTTGCCCAAACTGATTTCAATCAGGTGTTGATATACTCCTGATAATGATTGTAAGCCTGGAGTGTCTATGCCATAGTGCTCTATAGGGCTTGAGGAAGCCTGTCAAATAAACCATTGTTGCTACTTACTGCCATGTACGGCAAGAAAGTCTACAAACATATTACATAATGTAATACACCTATGATATTACCTGTGGTGTACACGTTGTCGATCTAAATATATGTCATGATCCACATTCATGTACAAAACAAGTAAAGAGCACGTGTTGACCCGCTAATGGGTAAATGGAGCAATAATTGCTCCATATGCCTATGGCAGCGTAGGCACTTCATGATTTTGTTTAAAAATTTTCTTTTTTTTCTGAAGTCCAATACAGATTATCCCTCGAACAATACTTTATCAGTTATATTGAAAAGTCTTCCAAAAATTGAATAGAAAGATATAGTCATACTTTTGGTCTATATATACTGAGTAACCAATGTATTTTTGTATGATAAAAATTAAGACCACACAATATTCAAGTAACGGGGTTTTTTTTTAAGTTTCCTCTCCTAAATAATTGTTTTCCTTCAATAAACTCAACTCAAATTTATTGAAATCGGGCAAGATTTATCTGTGTTAGCCTTTTTTTTTTTACATATGCAGTTATAAACTTGTTTTGTTGGAAAGCATTCTGGTTAATTGTGAATACGGGTACTCAAGGGGTGGTGTTGGAAGGATGTCCGAGTTTTTGATTGATAGTGTCTGGTCTCCAAAACCCACTTAGATATTGTCAGTTAGAAATTCAAGCATCTTTTTGATGCCAACTTCAGAGAACTTGTGTGTGCAATCAGAATGTGTTTTAACAAAATACCAGGTAATTTTGCAAATGACCAGGTAAGTAAACTTACGAGTTCCATTTTTATTTTTTAAAAAAAGCAGCTGTCAATGATATCAAAAAGCCTGGACTTTAATTAAACGGGGGGGCACACGGTTGTGTATAAAGTTGAAAAGTTTTAAGTTTGTAGACTGATTTTGGTAAAATCATCCGGTCTATTGGAGTTCCAAAGAATACCAATTGCGAACCGTTATGAGATGGTCTATTTTGTTATTTATTTGAAAAAGAATTTAACATAAACATTTGCGTGAGAAGAAGAAAAAACTTGCCATGACCTTCACCTCGACATTTTGACGACGTTTTTCAAAGAACAATTATTTAAACAATATAAAATCAAACAATCAATCAAAGAACAATAATTATTGTATTCATGTGCATATATCGACTCGATATATCCCAGTGAACTTGAAATAAAGATTACCACATTCTATTTCAGTCTGCTGTAGATTCGCTGAATAAGGAGTTGATACTTACGGTCGCCGGTTCGAATCCACTACGGGACGTGGAGATCGAGTCTTCAGATGACACTGTGTAAATCGAGGTTCCGTGTCGCAGTAGGTGTTGGTACAAAAAAGATCCCTCATTGCTCAATGTCCCTAAGTACGGGGTATAGGTAGAAATTTGCAGTTTTCCAATGGCAAGTGGTGGCGCCTCAAGTGACAAATTCTCGAGGTGGACGTTAAACAACAAACAACAAGCAAACAAATAAACAAAATCTAGAAAAAGACGTTAATGGTTATCTAACAACATAACTTTGTGATATATAAAGGTATTCATTTTTCTAGTAGTCAACTAGTAATGCCCTTACTTATGTTGCGATACTCCCTTTATTCCCCGTTGCTGCAATACCTCTAAAACAAACAATTGCTATATGTTTCTATGGGGTTTATGTCTCTTAGCTGATTTGATACGCAAGAACATGCTCTACATACGAACGGTTTCTTGACGACGCAAGCAACTAACAAGCAAGATGATGAAACATGATGTCAAAAGTCTTAAAAGTCATCCTTTCTTATGTTCTCTGGTTGATACAATAGCATTGACAGCATGTAAAATCTATTGATAAAATGTGGAGATAATGAAAAATATTTAAGCTCAAAAGTCCATTCCAACAATAAAAAAATCATGAACAAAACAAACACGGACCCCCGAAACATCAGAGGTGTGATCAGGTGCCATGAAGGAATAAGCATCCCCTGCCGACCGGTCATACCCGACGTGCGTTCCTTCTCGTGATTGGGAGATAATGAAAATACCGTCAACAACTCAGTGTGTAAACTGTTTAACAATATTATGAACAACGTCTGTCTGCAATGATAAATTGTATTTGCTGACGTGGACATTTCATCGGCTAAAACCTACGAAATGATGACTTTGAACGTGACTGCTGATATTCTTGTTTCATCAACTTGTTTGTCAATAATTTACCTTGTTTTAGAAATTGTACATATATGTAGAACATGCTCTTGCGTAATCAGTTGAAAGATATAAACCCTGTATATAGATGACATAGGTATATTGTAAAGGAGGTTGACGTTTGAAAAGTTACAACCATCAAGTTTATCATGAAACTTTATTACATTACCATTAACCTCTTTTTTGGTAAAATATTCAAATATGAAACATATATGCCATACTCTTTCGTATCTCTAATATTTGATGAAGTATAACACTTGATTTATATTCACATCTTTTTCATTAAACAAATTACACATTTAAAAATAGTAACGTTAAATTTTATTTATAACGTTATAAGTTATAAATTCACCAAAAAGACTAAACAGACATTTTGAAATCATTCCAGCTGACAAGGCATGAAATAATTAATATAAATGTAAATTTTGGTTGTCAGATTCGTTATTGCAATTGTATTGTAAAAAAAATTGGATTTAGCTCAACATCTGGATATCCAGCTTCTATCATGCTAATTGTTAAACTTTTCATTACACACTTCAATTGTTGACGGATTGACTGTTATTTCCCCGCCATGAAAAGAAGCAAACAGCGGGTGCGACCGGTTGGCAGGTCTCTGGTGTTTTAGGGGTCAATGCATGTTGGCTATCCTGTCAATGGGTTTAATTCCGTAGTAAAATAAATAAAACTTTCAACCACTGACTTGAACCTCTAAGTAGATTTAAATCATTTTGTATTTTTTAGACCTCCAAGTAAGAGTATATTCCTTAAAGATGTTTTTTTTTTTTCTGTATTAATATTGTCGTACTCTTATATCCATACAATATGTTACTAGAACAACCTCTGAGATTCAATACTGATGTCTAGAGTTTTTCCTTAATTTCGTAAATTACAATTTCTCCATTCTGCTTCCCGACCCAGAGTCTGTCTTGGCTGTCTGCAGCAACTGCTACAGGTCGGTGAATCCCTCTAATAACAGTTATAAATTGCCATCCAATAAGGCAACAGACACGGTCGTTCTGGTAATCGCAAACAAACACGTTTCCTTTTCCATCGCAACAAATGGATATTGGATCAAAAGAATTCAAGCACGGCTTAGGTGGACCAACAGTTCTAACGAAATCAAAGTTTTTCGTAAAGCATGCAATACTGTGTCTTGATCTGTCTAAACAGTACACATGATTTCCACCGAATGCGATTTTATCAGCAGATACTACAGAATTCAGTTCAACAACTTTTAAGGTCTGACCTCTGCTTCCGATAGTCTCTACACGATTTTTTGTCAGAAGTGCCATGATTTCACCCTCTTCGTTCAAGGTAACAGCACGGATATCTGGTCTAACAAACTGCGTTTGTTGCTTATTCTGTTTTTCATATGAGGTCCACGTTTGTACTTTTGTAAAATGCACCTCCTCTCCAGAAGATTTAAATAAAATCTTATTTATATTTCCTCTGACCACTGAAACCAAGTCTCCTCTTTCTGAATATAGACCGCCCGTTATTTCCCGGAGTTGCTTTGGAACATAATTTATGTGTTGATACAAAATCCAGGATTGTGTACCTTCCCGTGATGAAAAAATATCTGAAATCACGTTGTTGACGGGACAATCGCAGTTAAATCGAAATTTTTCCTTTAGTATTAGATTGACTGCTATAAAATCTAGATCTCCAATTTTTGGGATTTGAGTCTCGAACCCAGAGGGAACAAATACTGGAAGAGTATAAGAATTTACTGCACACTGTTCACTGCAGAGTTCCTTCATTTTCAAGTTATGCAATGAAGAGTTAGCTTGTGTTACATCGGGTAGTACCCCATGTTTCAGAACTTGTTGAATGTAGACACACTGACGTTTTAGGGATACAGTGGATTGAACAATGAAAGATTTTTTTTCGTCCAGATACGATTTTTCCTTTTCAAAATGAGCGTCTACTTCGCTGACCATTTTGCCCCCAATAGTTCTAATGCGCTCAACAATGTTATTTGTCTGTTCTTCGATAGCTTTAATCAAATTCTCTCGTTCACCATCAAGATATTTTTGTACATTCATTATGTCTTCATTTGCCGTTGAAAGCAATAAATCATTTAAGTTCACCAAATTCTCCAGTTTTAATTCCAATGCCTTCTTCGAATTTTCAGCAATGATATCTATGTCTTCAGTTTTATGCCCTTCGTGTTTCGTAAGTTTACAATCACGACATATATTAATCTCGCACTGACAACAAAAAAACTTCAGTTCTTCTCCACTATGCCTTGGGCAATAAAAAGTCTGAGTTTGCATTCCTGTGATTTCATTACCTATATCAACGCTTCGATGCGACCTGGTTGTCTTCAAATTTTGGTGTATCCTGTAACAATTTGTGCAAAGGTTCTGATCGCAATCAAAACATCGCTGTGTCGCTTTGTCGCCGTTCTCGCATGCTTGACACAGAGCTTCTTTTTCTTTGAGAAGCATTTCCATGTAGAAGTTATGTTTGATCCCGTCAATGCCGTTTTTAGGTATCGAGAATTCATGTCGACAAAGGGGGCACAACATTGTCTTTCTATCTCCAGTATGTTCACAAAGCTTTTCAAGACATTCCTTGCAAAAAGTATGCAAACAATCCAGTAGTTTAGGTTCTGTAAATGGTTCGAAGCAAAGTGGACATTTAATTGTGTCGTTCTCTGTTTCCCTTTGTTGATCTTTGGACGAAGCCATGATAAATGTGAATCTACTTTCGTTTTGTGTGAAACATAGTGACACGTACCGTAAACATTCATTATCACAACTAAATTTTTTTCAAAAGGGGTAAGTGTAAATAAATATATTTCATAAAGCAATATGAATTTATAAAATTCATTTTATAAACATAAATCATTGGGGTTTTTTTTACAGTCAATATTAACAAATTGCGACCATCAGAGTTTTATAAATACATATTCATACATCGTGAAAACTAATTACCTGGGTTTTTTTTCATTTCTCAGATAGACAGAAATTCCCTATTTGTGCCAGTTTTTAAAAATATAGCAACTACTATAAATACTACTACTACTATAAGTAATGGAAAGCAAATAAGATTATTAAATGTACAATTATAATTCAAACTGGTAGAGAATTAAGCTTATTTTGAAATACAGTATAAAAAAACAACCATATTCATTTAAGTAAGTTTCCAATAATCTTGGAAAATTCAACCTTTTGCTCATTAGTAAGAGATTCAACAATCCGGCCATTCAATTAAATGTATGTATCTATAACATATAACTGTAACATATATGAACTTGTTAATGACAAAAGCTTATTCATTCAGGAATTCCTCGCTTTTACATTATATTTAAAAGCGAAAAACAAATGATATGCGTCTTTGAGAAGTCCACAAGAACAATTAGGAATGGTTATTATTATGCCTATACATATAACTCAACAATGGATAGAGAAATTTTAAATTATATTATAGTCCTTCTGTGTTGAAAGCTCTTCCGATGAGCGCTTTCGATCACATTTTGTTTAGCGTCCGTCCGTAAACTTTTCATATTTTTGATTTTCTTGTTCTCCAGAACCACTGGTCTATATCAACTTAACTTCCCACAAAGCATCCTTGGGTGAAGGGGATTCAAGTTTGTTTAAGTGAATGACAATGCCCTCTTTCAAGAGGGGTTATAATTAAGAAATAGTAAAAATTTGGTGGCATATTTTAGAGTTTAGTGGCAAGAATGGAAGATCAAAGATTTACATAGGCATATATAGGAAAAATCTTTACAAATCTTTTTTAAAATCTTCTGGAAGCATCGCCATGTAGTATAAAAAATAAAAAACACAAACTTCAATTAATATGTAATTTAATTAATGGTTCTGAACCTGATTATTTGTATCATTTGATGCAACCTTTTTTCTGTCCAACATGCATACAACCTAAGGTCTGGATGTAATCACTTATGTATCCCAGTTTGTAAAACAATGTCATTCTATAATAGTTTTATTCTCTCAACCATAAAACTTTGGAACAGTGAGAATGTAAAAGAAAACTCTCCTTCATTACCCATCTTTAAAGCAAAGCTCAAATATTGGAGAGCAACTGATAAACCTTGTAAGTACTTTAACTTCGGTAATAGAAAAAAGAATATATCTTGCATTGTTAGTTGCGAAACAATGCTAGCAATCTTCATGCACGTATTTAAAAAAAATTCATTTTCTTAGATATTCAATCATGTCAAAAGTATGGATTTCATACTGAGGATACTGAACATTATCTTATTAAATGCCCATCATATAATGTTGAAAGAAACTTATTGGTAAAAAAAAATTTAATGATATTGATATTGTTTTTGAACTAACACTCTATTAAGAGGAAAATATCATTACTCTTATCAAACAAATTGTAAAATATTTTTATATGTACACAAATTTATTTAATCTTCTTAGAGACTAAGTTAGAAACACTGTTATTTTAAATTATCTATTAAATGCAAATAAAAAATAAAATATTTGTATTGTTTTTAAGCTGGAACAGTATGTAAATAATATGTACACAGTTGGGGGGAGGTGGTGTCATCTTTTTTTTTTTTTTGTATAATATTGATGAATAATTATTTGATTGTTAATCTTTATTTTTCATTATAACCTTATTATCATGTACATTTAGTATTATTATTGTATCTTGACCTTTTATACAAGGGGAAGGCGTACATTTGCCTTGCCTGTTGCCCAATATTTATTGTATTATTCAATTAAAAAAATGTTTAATGTATTTAGTTATGTTTTACGGATGTTTACTTTAATAAATCGATAATATTCATATCTTACCTTTAACTTATTATGCCACTTACATTTTAATTTTATTTAAGAAACGTTTAGAGTTAAAAATCATAATACTTACCGTTATATTCTGAGCCTTTTCAAATGTATTTTACTTCTCTTTTTGCTAGCGCTGTTGCTGAACAGATTTCAGGGTTGTTTAAAGCGAAACAAGTTTTTTTCATATTCTTGAAACTTGAACCAGCAGAAACCCGAGAAAAAAAAGAATTTCTGAAAATTCTCTAAACCTTGTACCTTTTTGTCTTCCATTACATAGTATCAAGGGTTTAGATACACCCTTAGTTTCTAAAGTTAGAATGACTGATATACTAACTAATATTGCTAGTGTGAGCTAAATATCCAAGAGAAAAGCAAAGGATATTTCTACATCTGATAGATCCCAAAACTCCTATCCTTATTATGCAATACTGTGCAGTTAATAGTGCAAGGTATCATAGTCGTGAAAAGAAGTCATGTGTTTCAAATGTCCTACTTTCATTATTTAATATTTTTGTTATTTCCCTTCACTAAATTTTTAATGTAACTATCATCACAATAAATTTTAAATATAATGACAATGGGGCAAATATCCATCAGTGCTTCACGAATATCTAAAATATAATATGATTTCTAATTTGTCATTAAAGGACATATTTTTGCAGTTTTCTATAATTATAAAAAATTCCATCTCTGATATTTAAATCTTTGAACATGTGTTCCTCTTTTACTCGTGGCTTCATCCTATAAATAGTATAATGAACAATTATCTAGTGGAGTGCTGTTGCTATAGAACCCAACATGAAACCGATCGAAAACATAGATCCACCAACAAACCTTTACAATCACAGAAACCCACCAAACCTAATGTGCCCAAAGTCAACGATCGAACCTTCATGCCTATGGCGTCACATGCCCTTCAATTTTGTAAATCAGAGATTCTATAGATATAGTTCTTTATGTATCGACAATCTTGTTGAATTGCTTTAATGAACGTGCGTTTAGGGCGGAATGGGATTTATTTATATAGAGAAAATTCAACAACACTAAAGTTAACCATTATTTATTTGTATGTGGCGAGTACTGTCGTGGCAATATTCGTGGGTCGCCGAGCAAATCAACACAACATTGGCAGACCCACTTCAGCATCAACAACAAATCAACCAATCAAATTCAGTAATGATATAAAATGTACCATCCCGGGTAATCCGCGGACAGTTAATTAATTAATCATTACTATATGAACAACTTACATAATCATTTCAATACAAAATGCAGTTTTTATAAGTCACAAAGCAATGCAGTTCCCATCAGCACAAAATATTGACTCAAATGTTAATCAGTAATCAACTCATTTCACATTAATAATAATTTGTTTAAATATCAGTTGACTTTAGTGTGCGCAAACGTGCGCCTATGCCACGACGCTCCAGGATTGATCCTTTCCTCTTTAGGATTCCTTGATGCCTCTCGATAATCGTCTTGATTGTACCAGTCCAAGCATGCCAATCAGGGCTAAGACCATATACCTACAATTTAAATCAACACAGCAGTATCTCTTGCCGAAACAAATTAAATTTTAAATTACGTAAACATCATCAGCTGATCTTGAATAACAGCACATATCTTATCCTAAAACATTTCAAACATATAAAATGGATTTACAGCTATTGAAATGGGATGGGTGGGTGGGCAAGAATCAGTTTTTACCAGTCGATTTGTTGTATTTTTACCAATTTATAACTGTTTATTCTCTGGATGTATCTTTGTCTGTTCCCTGTTCAGCAACCGGATATAAGAGGGAGCCCGAACCCGATGTTACTAATGGAATCTCTATATCATATTCATCGAACCCGATTTCTTTTCTCATAAAATAAAGGCATCTATTTTAGATTATCAAATAGATGCTATTATTTATATAGAGAAAATTCAACAACACTAAAGTTAACCATTATTTATTTGTATGTGGCGAGAACTGTCGTGGCAATATTCGTGGGTCGCCGAGCAAATCAACACAACATTGGCAGACCCACTTCAGCATCAACAACAAATCAACCAATCAAATTCAGTAATGATATAAAATGTACCATCCCGGGTAATCCGCGGACAGTTAATTAATTAATCATTACTATATGAACAACTTACATAATCATTTCAATACAAAATGCAGTTTTTATAAGTCACAAAGCAATGCAGTTCCCATCAGCACAAAATATTGACTCAAATGTTAATCAGTAATCAACTCATTTCACATTAATAATAATTTGTTTAAATATCAGTTGACTTTAGTGTGCGCAAACGCCACATGGCTGCAAACGAGTAAACGTTTGCAGTCACCCCACAAGGGAGCACCACGTCAACTGACCCACAACAATACTCAAGCCTCATAGGTATTTCCTTCTGGATAGACTGTTCCTAATTTTAGCTGAAAGTATTCCAGACCCCCCTGAATTGTGTTAAGGAATACTGAATTTCCAAGGTCAGAGAGGTGAACACCATCTTTTAACAAAAAGAGGGATATATCATGCAGGAGTTCTGGATATTTTATATAGTAACCCCCCAAACTAAGGACATGTTTAGCGATCGCTCTATTAAAGCGAACTCGGGTTCTTTCCATTGCTTCATCATTCTGAGAGTACCTCCATTCTAACCTAGGAAGGACCTGAGACCATATGAATTTAGAATTTGGGAAGTGATGTACCAATGCTTTCAAGTCATTTTTTGTTTCATGTATTAGTTTACACAGATTCTTATCTTTCCTACCTAAATCATTTCCTCCACAATGAATCAAATTAAACTGTGGTGGCAATTCTAATCGCTTCAGACAAAACATTTTCATTTTTAAGTCAGAAATCTTTAATCCAGAATATCCTTGCCACCATATTCTCTGTCCTATTCTCTCTAGCCCTAGATTTAATCCTCCT